GAAATCTGTCATTAAAATGTTTACATTAATGAACAAGGCTTCGTAAGACAAAGGAGAGATCGACAATATAAGAAGTTATATAGGATTTTAGGATTGTAAATTATTTTTTTGTATTTAAGTAGCAAAATAAAATTATTTTAAATAAATCAATTAAAAAAATAACATAAGAGTTATCCTGTTAGGTTTATGCCTTATTCTTGAATTCTAGTCACTTTAGTATTTTATAAAGAAATTATAAACTGGTCACTAATGCACTTTAAACATGTCATCTATACAGAATGAGGAAAAAAAAAAAAAAAAAAAAAATTTTTTTGATTATTTCTATATTTATAATTTTGATTATACATAACATACTGTTGAACTGAAAATGTGATAAAATTTAATGTATTAAGTTTAAATAAATTTCAAAATAGTTTTGTAATTTTCAGGTGAATAATTTTGTGACGATATTTATTCTTTATTTTGTAATGAGAAATTTTCCATTTCGAAAACAGATTTAAATAATATAAAAGGTATTTAGAATTTTTCTGTTAATGCACTTTGTATCATCTAATGCAGACATGTTTTTAACTGCAATATTTCCTTTTAACTATTCTGAACCAATATCATTTATATATATTATTTATATATATTATTTAACATCTTTATTATATTTGTCAGAATTCATAGCTAACAAAAAGAAATAAAAATAAAGATTCATTAAACTGCATTCAATTTGTCTTTGTTAACTTTTAAATTTGCATGCTTTCAACAAAAGTGGTTCTTTATTTTTGTACTACGATGTCATCTTTCCATTTGTTATTTTTTTCTTTATTAAAATGTAAAACAAAATCATTTGATTTACCAATATTGGCATTTGAAGAGTTCTGTATATGAAGTGGTCACTGCAAGGATTGTGACAGCACATCCTCTACAAAGTGTGTGTGATGTAGGCTTAGTTCTTTGTTTTAAATGTTGTCTCTTAATCAACCTTAATTTGTTTTTAACAACTTTTAGATTCTCTTTTTGGAACTTGGATTCAATATGATTATGAGCAAAAATCTTGAGATACATAACTACAAAATCAGAATGATACAGTGAGGAGGAGGAAAAAATTCCCATTGTATAATATTCATCTTGTATAATATAAAATAAAATGTGTTGTGATAAAAGTAGGGAATTATATAGTATAAGCTCAAATCCCAATACTGTTTTCATTTTGGGAAGTTAAAATTCATCTAACGGCAAAACTTATTTAACTTCTATAATTTTATTAGCTCATTAAAACAGACAAGAAAATTTTGAAGCAGTTCCTTGACTAATTTCTGTACTTTAATTAGTTGTATCTAGATTTGCTTGTTTCATTAGTCTCTAACTAATTCACTGCATTTAAAAAAAAAGGAGGCAATACTAATGCAGATAGCATCATGAGCTAAAAGCATTGGTTAAATAGCGTTCACACACACACACACACATCTCAAACAATGGCTAGGATTAAGTGAATTTATTGCTTCTCTCATCATTATCATCCCTTTCACTTTTGTAATCTTAGGGGTGATCTGAATGCAGAAGCCACACTGAATCTCCTCCACAATGGTCTATCAATGGCAGCCATTTGCAATTCTGGTATAGTCATTGTTGTCCCTTGTTTGACATTGTCCAACCAGTTTTTGCATTGGCGTCCTCTCCTATGTCCACCTTCAACGGTGCCTTGCTTCTCTAACAACACCCAAATATTAGCCGATATGTGTGTGTGTGTGTGTGTGTGTGTGTGAGAGAGAGAGAGAGAAATGGGATCAAATATAGTTTAGAATTCGAACAGAATGATAGGATAGGAACAAATAAGAGACATTCATAAATTTAACATTTCTGGTGAAACTTAAATAAAAGAACTATATATATATATATATATATATATATATATATTATGAAATGGACATTTTTTATGCTTATACATTCTTTTTATAGATACAAATATTTAAGTAAATGCTCTGTTTATAATAAACAGTATTAATGACATTTACCAGCCTGAATCTCTGAAATATTTTCATAGAAAATATGTGTCCTCCAACAGGAATCAAACCTGTATCCTATACAGAACCGTCATATAGCCTGATGTGCTTTGCCTATTTAGCTACGGAGGAGAATTTCAATCAGCAAAGTCGATTTTACTGTTTTAAAAAGAATGTATAACCATAAAAATGTCTTAAAATAATTGTCAGACTTTGTCCATTTCATAATGTATGACATCATTTGTTGACGTTTGGGTACGCATTGAGTAGATATGAATGTACGAGAGAAAATCATGGAGAATTGTAGTTTAAAAACAGTAAAATTGACCTTGCTAAGCAAAACGCTCCTCTGTGGTTAAATCAGTAAAGCACATCAGGCTATATGACGGCTCCGTATAGGATACAGGTTTGATTCCTGTTGGAAGATGCATATTTTCTATGAAAATTTCTTGGACATTCAGGCCGGTAAATGTCATTAATACTGTTTATTATAAACAAAGCATTTACTTAAATATTTGTATCTATAAAAAGAATGTATAAACATAAAAAATGTCTTATAGCTAGATTTTTCTTTTCCCCTATTTATTCAAAAAATACCATAAAATGAAGTCCTGGTATTTATTGAAAAAATACCAGATTTTTTTTCTCTCTCTCATATTTTATTTTCTGATGAAGTGTAAATAAAAAATGAAACATGACAAGTTTATAAACATTTCTTGTTTGTTCCTTATACTATCATTCTGTTCGGATTCTAATCCATATTTAATCTCTCACTATATATATATTATATATATATATATATATATATATATATATATATATATATATATATATATATATATATATGCAAACATATGCAGAACAGGTTGAAAGAAACTTCCTATTGAAAATTATTTATAACTTTTAATATATCACAACATTTGCATGATCCTTGAAGTGGTAAAATTTCATTGCTAATTTTTGTTTTTATTTCAAAGTGACAAGTGTATCCTAGAATGGCACAATGCTGGACTCAGCCTGAGCGTGGTCAGCTAGTATCCAGTTACAAAGTGTGGCAGTTTGTGGCATAAGTGCAAAGATGGTTGATAACACAATGTTCATGAATGTTGTGCTTCAGTAGATGGCAAAACCTATTTTAAATAGTTAATAATTTCAATAACAATTGGTCAATTTTCATAAAACGTTTTATTTTGAACAGTCTAATGGTAGAAGTACAGTCAGTCAGTCATGTGCCATGCATGATACATGCTTAGGCAATCATGTATCATTCGATACATGACTGATGAGGCAGATATTTTCCTGCAGTAGATTGCCATTTCTTTTTGCTGTAGACCAGTTGCCATCCAAGACTATAGAACCTGGTCTGTCCTGCTATTTACCCATAGCTGGGTGTGGGGGAGAAAAGGATTCCTATCTTTCCCAAGGGTATTAGCACGTAAGTGAATGTAATGGATTTGACTGGAATTCGAATTTGGCTCTCTGATTACTTAATCCGAGCTGCTATCCATTAATATAGTACAGTGTTAAAATTCCACCCTTTTGAACAAATTCTACCTTTATACACATTTTCTTCCCATCTGGATGTTAAAAGATTATTGCTTTTGCAGGTATCTACCACGGATTCTGTACTCACCAGCTTGGTATGACAATTTCTGATGGTTTTACCATTTACTGAAGTACAACGTCCATGAACATTGTGTTACCAACCATCTTTGCACTTATGCCATAAACTGTCACACTTTGTAACTGGATGCTAACTGACCACACTCTGGCTGAATCCAGTGTTGTGCCAATCTGTGATACACTTGTCACTTTGAAATAAAACTAATTAGCAATGAGATCCTATCACTTTAAGGATCATGCAAATGTCGTGAGATATTAAGTTATAAATAATTTTCAATAGGGAGTTTCTTTCAACCTGTTATGTGTTTATATATATATATATATATATATATATATATACACACACACACTACAATGAATCATTCATACAAAAAGATTAGTAAAGTTAATGATATAAAATGGTGAAATCCCTTCACAAACAAAATTTTAAATGTGCATTAACCTACAAATCACTCGATGAATGTAATGATCCTTGTTTTTAATAATTATAAGCTGTATAAGGTCTTTCTTTAATACACAAGTACTTTCAACTGCATTTTTTTTTACTAATATGGCAATTTGAGAATATTTTTTTGTTGTTGGAGTTTATCAGTCAATGTGGCATGAACTAAATTTAAATTATTCAATAAAGAGTAATTTAGTTAAAAAAAAAAAAAAAATACAGTTTTAAATTTTTAAAAACAAGGATCATAACTTTCATTGAGGGATCTGTAGGTTAATGCACCTTTAAAATTTTGTTTGCGAAGATTTTTCACCATTTTATATCATTAACTTTACTAATCTACTTTTTGTATGAATGATTCATTGTAATATAAATTGAACTGCACTACATATTTGATTATATATATATATATATATATATATAAAAATATAGAACTGTGTAGCGAAAAAACCATATTTTAAATCAATTTATAATATAGATATATATTTTTTCTTTTCAGATAGAGTGTAAAAGAACAAAAGGAATAAAAAAAAAAAAAAAAAAAAAAAAAAAGAGACAAGAGGAAAACATTATTCTTATCCTAAGAATAGTTTTTAGGATAAGAATACTTTCCCCCCACCCCTTGTCTCTTTTTATATATATATATATATATATATATATATATAAAAACGTGTGTGTGTGTTTTGTGCATGCTTGAATAGTCTGAGCTTTTTAAATTATACAGGAAGATAAGTCATAAAATACATTCATTTAAAATTCTATATTTGATATTAGTAACTGCAAAAAAAAAAAAAAAAAAATATGTACTTTTTATTGTAAACTTTTAATAATCTATAAGCTTTCATTTATTGCATATCAAGACATTAAAAGTCAGTATTACCAGCAAAAGATTTTAGAGAAAATAATCTTATACATAGAAAAGATGTTAGTATGTAGCTTCTAACCTGGGGGTTGTGCCCATAGTTTGATAGGTATTGGCAGGAGCAGTGCGTGTTGGGTAAGACACCCCATCTCCAATGCTGAAATTGTTGGTGAATTGATATATTATTTAATAACAGCTCACATCTTTTGTGCTAAAATAACATTTTTTTAGTTTGAAAAGGTATATATAAGGAAAAATAGAAAAAGTAAATATAAGTTGTGTATATGTATTTGGGGGTATCGGTTTCTCCCCCAAATTAATCATAGACAATTTTTTTCTTAAATATATTTCTGGGATAAAAGGAGAAAATACTAGTTAATTGGTCATAAATTAACAAATATTCAAAATTAAAATTCTTGACACATTTGCTACTTATTGGTTCCTTCATGTTACTGAAGAAAAATTATTTGGAAGTCAAAGCAAAAATGAAAAAAAAAAAAAGAAAGAAAATACATAAAGCATTAACTTAAATTCAACTTTAAAAAATTTAGATTCATTTCACTGTGATAAAGTTGAAAAGTAACACAGATAAAATGCATATTATACTGTTATTTGCTTGAACTTGAGTCCTTATCTTGGTTGTACCTTCTAAAAAAATTGATTCTTGGAATTTCATATCTCAAATCCTTTATTCAATCAGTGCTAAGCATTATTTTCATGTTCCTGTCCTGTACAAATTCTATTTTAATTAATCTCTGTGATGTCTCTTTTCCACTGAACTAGAGTATGAGATTTTTTTTGCACTACCAAACCCAGTCATTAGTTAACCAGGATTGAGTTCAATTCCTGTGTCTAGAAGTGAGGGAAAAAGGTTATATACTTTGGTTCAATGGAAAAGACAAGGTTTATCATAAAGAAGCTATGGATAATTGAAAAAAGGCTGGAAATTACAATAACTGAAAATTGCTAATAACCAAGATAAAGACCAAATGTCTGAATAAAGCAACATAATTCCTGATCATCTCTAAAATCCACATAAAAGATAAAGCAAAGCATTATCTTTTTAAGTAAATTCAAAATGTAAACAGCAATATTTATAATATTTCTGCAGTTAAAAATCTCTTCATTTTATGAGGCTTCCAAATAATCTTTATATAATTTGTAACAATATAGACAAATCTTTTATACTCTAAAGTCAGTGGTGGTGTTCTGATATGAATCCTCAGTGCATTCATCACTAAGTAGGTATTGAAATATTAAAGTTTCATATTCAGAATTACTAAGAAAAACAGGAAAATCATGATAGCAAATGAAAAGAACCAACAAGTAGCAATAATATTTCATATAAAAAAGTGGGGAAACAAGAAAAAACTTATACAAATATAGAATAAAAATTGTTTTCTAGAAAAAAAAGTTAAAAACTTTAAATTCAAAAACTTAATTAAATCATATATAATGCTCAGTAGTGAACAGTGTTAATATTCTTGTCTTATAAATTTTTGTAAAGTTCATCAATAAAGTAAAGATAAAACTTTCTAAAGTTTAAGTATCTTTAATCTTACTAATACCAGTATATCTTCTTTGGAAAAAAAATTGAATTTAATATCAATGTAATGTCACTAGGACCAAATTATCTTTTAGGCTAATATAAGTTGCAGCTTAGGGCTCCTCAAGCTTTTATAAAGAAGTGATTTTAATTTTCTAGATGTTAGAACTTCTAAATAGTTTCATAAACTAAAATGATATCAATATAACAAACTCATATTTATTTTTATTGTTATAATGCTGCTGATAGAAATTTTTTTTTTTAATATAGTAGTGTTGAGATATTTGCTAATTTAGTTTGCAATAAATAGTAAAATAGTAGTAAAGAATATTTTTATTGACAAACAAAAGATAGCTATTCTAATTTATTTAAAGAATTTGCAATAAGTTTACTTCAAGTTATGTAAATGTTGCTAAAATATATCACGAGTAAAAAATATTCAAGATTGGGGAACTTAGAGGGTGGCACCATAATTTCATTAGCCTAGAGGCCACAAAGGTGAAAATCCTCCCCTGAATGTAACTAACATAGTTTTTGACTCAAATGAACTGTAAATGGAAATTTCTGCAATAGACAATGGATTAAATATTCAGATTTATTTTTGCCATATTATTAACTTATATTATAAACACAAAGTAAAATAGAAAAGTATAGCCAAGAGGAATCTATAGCATTATTTTTTATTTTGTGTTAAAAATTACATTTTAGTGACATCAGATTATAAAGACATTGAATTCAACTGTAAATGATTCTGATATGAAGAAATGTTTATATATGACATTTTGGAATAATTCTACAGGAAGAGGACAGTTGCATACAAAATTTGGATATGCAACTTGTAGATTTTATATTTAAGGTAAGATATTTTCAGAACTAAGAAAAAACTCATTAAAAAATACATTCTAATAATTTCATATTGATATGAAAAGACATAAAAATCTTAAAGAACAAAGGCAACTCATGTATATCTTAATTCTTCATGAAAACAATAAACTAACAACTTTATACATAAAACTTTAAAACGAAGACATTTAAAGATTGATTTACATAATACAAAATTTCAGTGAAATCCATGATAAAAGGGAAAAATATTTATGTGACATGTTTTGTCCTTTAGGACTTCACCAGACTAAAGTGATGTTTACACATGCTCATAAAGGAGAGGGATATGTAATCGCATCAACATAAACATCACTTTAGTCTGATGAAGTCCATGAACATTTTTTCCACTTTGTCATAGATTTCTCTAAAATTGTTCTCAATATATAAAAAATGTATATGCTTTTCCCCCCATAATACAAAATTCATAACTGACAATAATTATTTTGATATAATGATGCATAAATTCTGTGTATAATTAAAAATAATATATCTATTCTTCTAATTAGAAAAGTAAAAATTTAAGACTAAAGTTTATATGTTGGTATATTGTACAGTCCTTGCTAAACTTCATGATTACCATGGTTTGTGTATATCTTTGCTTTGTTCAAATGGGTTTTCAAGTTATATATAAAAAGGGTTATTATTTTTGTTTGTTTTTTTTTTAAGATATTTTCTTTTGTAATATTCCATAATATTAAGCTGTCATTTGGCTAATCAGAATATGAATAGACAATAATAATATTAATAAAAGAAAGTGAAGATGGGAAGATCAAAATTAGGCATTTTGTACATGGATCTAGTGTTCTACTGTACGTTACTCACTTTAGATTATGACAAATGATAATATCAATCACTTGAACTAATTTCTATAAGACAGTGTTACAAAGTTTCTGCATGTAAGTTTCTCATATGATCTAATCCCATCCTATCTTTCTTTATTTATTGTAGCTAATAAAAGTTAGAAACTAGTTTGGTAAGTGATGTTCACATGCTACACATTTCTGTTATGAACAACTTTACATTATTTACATTATTCGGACTATTGTTGCCATATTTATTACAATGTTTCAGCTTCAGGTGGTTGGAATGTCAAACTGAACCCTTTATTTCACTCACTGGGTAGACTTCTATTTCTACGTGCCATCTTTAATGGATGTCAGTTATCAGTTATCTCCTGTTAATTTCCCTCTCCAAGTTTTCCACTGCCTTACCCGGGTACTGAACTTACACTCTTTGGGTCCTGTCACTGGATCTAACCAACGCCTTTATCTACTGTGCCATGTGTCCTTGAGGATATCTGTGTATGAATTTCCAGGTATTATAAACCTAATGTCTTCAGCAACCATTTTTTTTTTTTTTTACCAGTTCTCATACTGCAATTTTTGCCTTGAGGACACAAGACACAGTGGATAAGGCAGCTAAGGCAGTGGAGAACTTTCAGAGGGAAATTAACAGGGGATAACTGATAACTGACATTCATTAAACATGGCATGTGGAACTAGAACAGTCTACCCCAGTGAGCGAAATAAAGGGTTCAGTTCGACATTCCAACCACCTGAAGAAGGCCGGAGCATACAACGGCTGAAACATTGTGATAAATATGGCAACAGAGATGAGGACAATAGTCCGAATAATGTAAATAATACCTCAACTCAGAAATATAGACAGATACAACTAAATTTGTCCAGTAAAAAGACAGAGGTAGAATTCTTAACTATCATTAAATTTCTAATTAAATCAACAAGTACAGTTTACTCTTTATTACTTTTCTTTAACTGCAGCTATTTAGAATAACTGAGAGCTTGTTCTCTCACAGACACACAATATATAACTTAATATGGATACAGAATGAAGTGCGATATGATTGATCATACTTTTGTAATCCTTAAAGAGGTTACAAAGGTGATATTAGAGTGGAGGAACAGCAACACGCGCATATATGAAAGAAAGAGAGGTTTATTGTAAAAAGAGAATACACTACTGAAAGATAAGGAATTGGGCGACAGGCTAGTAATTCCCAAAGCAAGCCACTAGGGTATATCCTGTGCTCACTATATATATATATATATATATATATATATATATATATATATATATATTACTGATATAGTCAGTCCACATAGGTGATAGGGAGTGTGGTACATTCCATTACAACACATACTCAACTCTTTAGGGTATTGGATCTTAAAAGCTAGTGTTAGCAACCACAAAGTTAGCTTAGTTCAGTGATTAACATGTAGTTTAGAGCTATTCAACATAAATCTCAACTTTGTTTCTTCACACTGCCAATGATCTCATCTCAAGTATCTGGGGAAGAGTTTAGTGTTATATAAAAAGGCTTATCGAGAAGGTGACTGGTAAAAAAAGCACAAAAAAAAAAAAAACAGCAACATAAAGATTGACCAAAAAAAAATCAGCAATATAGAGATTGGGCAAAAAAAAAAAAAAAAAAAAAAAAAAAAAGAAAGAGGGAGAAAGAAAGAAGAGAGAAAGATAAGTAGAGTGAGAAAGCAATGATATTAGACAGATGTTGAAAATAGGGTGGTTAATTCATACATAGAGTTAGAGTTGGTCCCATTCAGAAGAATACTCCAATGCTCATAAAGTAATTTGTATGATATTCATATCAAATAGATTGAGCTAAAGCCATATGTTAGAGGAAAGATATTGGAAACAAATTTATGATTCTTTGTTTAAACTCACAATATAATTGAATGAATGCTTCCTGA